GTTTGGTAGAAGTGAACACTAATATAAAATTTAAATGATATTCCTTGCTGAATAATACTACACTTTTATACGAGTCAACGAGTCAATCCAATCAGTGAATGTGATGAGTGAATCAGCCTTTCTCAAAACTGAAATAAAAGTTTTTAAATCAGGATTTTTTATGACATAGTGAACATAACTTGTCTGAGGATATAAAACCTTAAGTCTTATATTCTTTACGCGTCACTATTCAGTATCTAATTTTGCATTAAACCAAAATATAAAACTGTGAGAGAATAAGACAATGTTAATCCTACGAAATCTATGCCTTTCTCACTTGGAGAAGAAAAAACAAAACAATCTAACATTGACACTTTTAGTCTTAAGTTTAAATATTTCGAGACAGCATATTCTCAAGCGAAACAAGATTTAAATAACGTAAAATTCACTATCGACAAAAACAACTTAACTTGTCAAAGTATATTTATTTATGAAATTGGCATACGTTTCAGTTAACCAACCTGTATCACCTACTTTTCATTTAAGAATACTCAAAACACTGTCTATCTCTCCTCTTTGATTGGTTAGGCAAAGTGACCAATAAAATTGTGAATAAAATGATTGCCAGTTATTATTATTATTATTATAGTGCTTTGTATAATGAACAGGGAAACATTTTCACGAATAATTACACAAATAATATTAAAGGTGAGATCTTTATGATATCTACGTTTTCTTAAGGGAGTAGAGGGGAAGAGAGAGAAATATATATATTCTATAAGCTTCTTTATAACGTCTTATCAACCTTACGAAAACAACATGTATCGTATATAGAAGTGCAGAAATCTGCATGCCTTTATATAAGCCAATTAATATTTGATTGAGTTAAAATAAATGAGTTGACAAGATCTTTACTGTTAATTACAAAGGTAATTAACTGGGGCAACAATTTTGTTTATCATTTTTTACCCAGAATTATAGATTAGTTTTGCGTAGACTGCATGGTCCGTATCAGACAGAATGTTCGTTAAATGTATTCCACTTGATCTTGTATCTTACATTACTAACACGTCCTATGCAGGACAATGTATCTCCTACTCTAAATGCCTTTTTTCCGATAGCTTTGAAAATATCGTAAAAAAGAGATTTGAAAAAAATCGTTTGAATTTTAAGTTGTTTTGAATCGTAGACATACAGAAAATTTGATCGTGAGACAGTGTTAGCCAATACATGAGCTAGTTTCATGTCTCAAAGACCAGTAGCTTACAACCAAACTCATGATTATTTTATTCAAAAGATTTTTTAAATATTATGATAACTGTGTAAAATTGGGTTATAAGGATCAATTAGCAATTTTATTAGGAACCACAAAACCTCGATTAATTCAAATTTGAATAGAGATGTACAAAACTATGGATCTGCTAGACTGTGAATTCATGAATTCTTGTAATTCTAAAGGAAAAAAACGAATGTTGAATTACTCCATTGTATGATAAAATTCCTCCTCTGTCAAGTCTATTTCTGGATATCCCTTATATTTTCTGGTTTACTTACCGTCAAAGAGAGTGGATGTGAACCGAGGTAAATGCCCGACGACAGTAATAAAGTATATGTTTAATTCTATATGTTAGAAACTTTTCTGATTTGCACAATTCAACAGTTTCGTTTACGTTTATTAGGACTTTCAATAACAGATGCTTGGTTCTAACAATGTCAGGCTACATTAACTGCCCAATAAGTATGCTGAAGAAATGGAGATGGATCGTACACACACTGAGGAGGCCGTTCACTGACATCACGCGCCAGACCCTCGAGTGGAAGGTGAATGGTAAACGACCATTTGGGTGTTTGAAGGTGATGTGAAGGAAATCGAATTAGGAGGAACTGAAAGCCTGTGGGCAATCGTGGAGGCAACTAAAGAGGACTACAAAAAACAGGATCTACGGTTTTAAAGTTCCGATTTGTCAGATTAACACTGAACTCTACGAAATTACTATCTTGTTTAATGAATGTAATTAGTTAAATTGAAAATATGAATGGAGTAACTGAAGTCATTACATGATGTTAAAAGGATTCTAAAATCTAACATCAGTCATGTAGTAGAAATTGTTAGGAAACAGTATTGTTGGTTGAATATAATTTGTTTATATTTCCTTAGAAAGATTAGAATGTTGGATGCAGCAGATGCATGACCAAAACTAGCCAATTCAAATAGCCAGTGGTATCTAAATTAGTGGTCTTCCATTAGCTGGCTCAATGCTCTGCTGCTTTAACTATAGAATATACCCACTGATTGGATCGGCTAGTCGCTCATTTAATGCCGCAGATCTGCTGAAAATCTGTCTGAACATAATAACTTCAGATTATTAATGTGGGAATTACCGATTTCACTCGTATCATGACTCAGGTTTTAATTTCGTCAACAATTCTCACACAAAAAAGCAGTGAAAATCAAATAAACATTTATGAGGTGAATATGATGCTGAAAATAAGATTTTGATTGATAGCAGCTATCCATTCTTTGTCCTGTAACTCAAATTATAGGTTATTAACAGTAATTTTAGTTTCTACTGGTCATAAAATAATTTAATACACATCTCAGCCTATTCACTTAAACAAAGTAGCGTTATAATGCGACTTCTCGTTTGATTGCGTAAACCTGTCAGGTTTCTAAGCACAAGAATATCACAACCTTTTATTTACCAGTCTACTGTTTTGACGATAGATATTGTGAATAATCTGCTTGTGGTTGTTGAATGCTTGCAAATGCAACATTTTATTCTCAATAACAGAAAGATTCAGATTTTTGGTATTAGATGGTTGAAGGCAATCGGCAGGAAGCCTTGGACCTAGGTTTCGTGCTAGCTGGCACTCACCACTCACCAAGGCGTACCTACAACCTTGAAGTAACTCATGTTCCTTCTGAGATTTGAACCCTCATCATCCAGTGCTGCAGTCAGAGACGTTAGACACACATTGCACTAGTTACTGACTAGTGTTCAATCCAAAATATCCGATACAGTCCTACAGGAGGCCAATCGCGAGCCTAAAATAGCTCAGTGGTAACGTCTCTGACTGCAGCACTGGGTGACAAGGGTTCGAATCTCAGGAGGAACATGAGTTACTTCAAGGTTGCAGGTACGCCTTGCTGAGTGATGAGTGCCAGCTAGCACAAAACCTAGGTCCAAGGCTTCCTGCCGATTGCCTGCAACCATCCAATATCATCAAATCAATGTGCACCGTGATGGCGAGCTACCTAGAATGGTGGCCACATTGCAAACCTGACTGACAGAATTCAGTCTGCACCAAAGATAGGACTAGACAAATTACATTAGTCACTGACTAGTGTCCAATCAAAAAAAACATTCAGATTTTCACTAGCAAAATTCAGCTTCTGCAATGGTTATCCTTTCAAAAATCCATGATATGTACCCAAAAGAGATAGTCATTTCTCAGAGTCATATCAACATTTCAATGCTTGTAACTACTAAGCACTGCAACATCCACATTGAAGATAGATGGTCATTGAAGATCAGATGGTCATAAAGGATAAGCAACAATGAACTATAGTAGCAAAATTAGCTATGAATCTGTTGCCCAACAAATATGTAGAAAGAAATGGAGATGGAATGTATATATGCTGAAAAGACCATTGAGTAGAATTGCGCACCAGACAGGTCCATGAGTGGAACCTGAATTTGGGGCGTCAGTTCTGACGTCCGATGGTGATGAAGCAATAAAAGCTTATAGCCAGTCGTGAAACCAGTTGAAAGGGATGGTAGAGAAGTGAGTGCAGTACAGAAGAGATGCGGAGCTCCTGTATATTAAGATACACTAGGATCGCAACGAACAAATGACAATAATAATAATAATAATCCGAACACTGCAACTAGTTAATGACATGCGTATAATCAGTATCATTTGTTTGTTTGCATAAACATAATTTTGTTGTTCACTGTGTAATTGCGGGTTATTTATTTCTTTTTCACGTGTACTGTCAACAACATTATCTCGGTAAACAGTACCAAAATAAGATGATGAGTTTTGTTCGGCATATAATTGTTTCTTCTTCTTCTTCAGTGATTGTTTATTCAATGTAACTTTTATTGAATTACTTTTTAACGAACCAAATTCAGATAATATAAGTATGTTGTTGAAATTGTCTAGGTAAATATTTTGTTATAACCATTTCACTGCAGAAAAAATATTTTAAAGCAGAAGTTAAGTGGGAGTTATACTGATTGTTAGCCACACTGTAACTTGGCGGCAGCTTTTATGTAATGTACAGCAATGAAAGAAGCATGTTTAATAGCCTGATTTCTCCAAACTGTTGAAACATTCACTGTTTACCAAACATAGATACTATCCATATTTTATTTTTCTCCTTATAGTTTTTCTTAAGCAAAGCTGTGAAAAAAGACTGATTCACTTAACAGTTATAGTCTAGTGAAAGAGAAGAATATTTAGTATGAGTAGTTCCTTGTTCCTGCGTTAAAGAAACTGGTGAATTTTTCGATAACGTGATTTCAACAATCGTTTAAAAAAAATCAACCTCAGGGGACTGGGATCTTGGAAACGTAACATTTTCTTTATACTTGAGCCTTTCAGATAATGTTCTCCTTCAGCCTTCATTAGCAAACATTGCACTGATAAATCTGATCGTTATAAAAGAAATACTGACAATTAAATTGCTTATCTCAGGGAAGATAAAATAGCCTGGGCTATTCACTTATTTGTAACCTTCCAACCTTAACTACGTAGTTATTTTAAAAAATGGATACAGTTCACCGTATTTCTTTCCTCAAGTACATTTACAATTCAATAGGATTAAACAGTCCCACATAAATACCAATCCCACTCAATCTAAACATTTAGTAATAAAAAATTTAAAAAGTTTACTGATAAACTCAAATAAAGCTGAACATACATAACGTTATTATGACTATTAGTACTAATGTAGCTGAAATATATTCGGCACATAAAAACCATTTAACATTTTAAAACTAACTTTAAACATTTACCTTAATTAAAGGAGATGCAAGATGTAATTGTTTTATAGAGGTAGTGGCTTCATCATCCTTCGCCATATTTGATGCTGAACTTGTCAACGATGCCGTGAATGCAAGCATTTCATGTACAGCTAGACGAAGTTTAAGCCGGTGTAAAGGATTTCGTATGCCTAATTCCCTTTGAATATCCTGTTCAGACAAAGAGGCAAGCATGGCACCAGATTTGATATTTGCTTCACAGGCTGCAACGTACCATGCTGGCATACCGACCCATAACTGCATTAATATATAAATAATATTGAAGTACATGAGTTAATCTTGTTAACAAAGAAAACAAGTATTTAACATTTATGGTTTGTTAATAAAAAAACTTGAGAATAATGAATCACCTCTTTAATTAAAATTTTCAGATAATTTCCTTTTCCTTTTTACCTATAAATCTGAATGATGCGACAAGATTATGTTGACAGATAAATTAACTGCTTATCAATCATCGTATCATCTATTTCATTCTACTAAGATTTTGATGTTTTAATTCTCGTCGATGACTGGAGTCATCTACCACTGGAGACCAATCAAGTATTAACATCAACTCATACTTAGTGAATAAGAAACAGATATTTAGACCGAAAAATGGTTCGATTGCCATGTTTTCAAAATGGAATCAAAAAAATTCTTAAGTCCGAGAGAAACATTTTGTAATGAGGCTTTTGATGATTACATAAGTGCCAGGCAAACATGTTTCAGAATCGACAATTCTGTCTGAAATAGGCAGCTATTTTACTATTTACACTGATACCGTCATGTTTCACAAAAGTTTGGTACGACTTAGATGAAGGAATTTAAGGTCACTTGGGATGTGTCAGCTGATAGTAAATAACGCGATTTATGTGTCATCCAGCTGGCAGTTAGTCAAATGAATAAAGATGACTTCCACTGACTTGTGGTGTCTCCACCAAGATTCAAACAGAGCAATCAACTTTTTGAACACTTCACCAATGAACAACAAGAACTATCGCTCTTGTGAAGGATATAATTCCACAATTATTGAAGATTTTGTCTTCTTGTTGCATATTTTCAATAAAGAAAAAGGGAACGATAATATGTCAGTCCGAAGGAACTAATTATACGCCGATTGTTATTCACCAAATACGGGAAATCAAGTGCTTATTTTTACCGCCATCAAGGTGTGGTGGTGTGATACAGACAATGGGTTCCAACGGAATATTATTCTCACAGTAAGAATCATTGTATTTGTTGGTGTTAACGTATGAATACTATTTCCACAGTTCAATACTGCATTAGTAACAGAATAATCTATGTATTTGAACATTCTTTTTCATGTCGTTTAATGTAAACCAAAATCAGACACTCAGTGATTGGTTAAAGAATATAAACTGTATAGATATAAATAGCGGTTTGATCACTTGAAAATATACCTTGGCTTCCATGTCTTGCCTTCCGCTGTTACAAAAGTATAATGCTTCTACCTGAGCAATAGATATAGTCTGAAAACACTTATGATTTTAAATTAGAATGCAGATAATTTAGTCTGATAATGTAGTAAAATCCTAGTTATTGCTGGCTTGAGTTTATTATTGATATGTGACAAGCACAAAGAAGCTCTTTCATACTCTGTAAATCTTAATTATATCAGCTGAACGTTGTTAGTCTACAATCTGAGGAAAACACAGCACACATATTCTACAGCCTTAATATATGAAGAATCTAAAACAATCGTGTTTTACAAAGAAATGAATTATGTGCTTAAATCACACTTGAATGTTTAAACATGCAATTATAAGGAAAAAGTGAGAGTATAGATCTACTATAGTATGCACCTTCTACGATCGAGCAAAATCACTGAACAAATATTCATAGTCTTATTCTTTACAGTATGTACTTACTTTTAACCATGCAACCAGTATGGGACTACTCCAAGAGGTGAATGGTAAATTGCTGCGAATCGCATCTTCAAGGAGCATTTTTCTGTAAACAGTGAACAAAAATGAGAAAAGTGTATATTAATTACCAAGAAGTAAGTCAGTGTGAAGTTGAATTCATTGTAGGACAACTCTGGAAAGTTCTGATTCTTTTATTAGCTCTCATGATATTATTTTCAAAGGGAAGTAAAATATTTAAGTCACAGATGTATCCCTGTTGCAGATCAATTAAGGAAACAGTTTTGCAAAGAAGTGTATCATTCCAATTTGAAACAGTTTGATAAACATTTAAAATAAAGAACCAGAATAAGAGTGATACAGACAAATATAGTTGTGTTAGAAAGCACAACTAAATAAGGACCAGTGATAATTTCTAGGTCTCATAAGACGACAAACAGCAAACAGCTTAAAGTCATTTCGTCGAAAATGTCCAACTGTTGATTTTGAGCATTGTGAAGACTCCACTCATGTACTCTGCACCTCTCTACGTTGTTCAGAATAAAAGTCAATGCATTCATGAATTGACAACATGTTTAGTTTTACAACACCTATCATCTCTTTTTCATGACTTATCGATGTTAGTGCTATCTTGAAAAACAATGAAAGCTTCGTAATGAAGTTACCCAGTTCAGAGAGGACAATTAGCTGATATACGTAGCACATGACCTGGCCATATTAATATATGTCCACTGAGTCACATGTAAAAGTATATCTACAATAAGACTAAATAAAAATGGTGGAATGGGGTATCTCAGAATGAAATCCATTTCTTCTGCACTTTCAGTCAGCTTAAATTCTTGCAGATTTTACTTGTCACCATATTCAGAGGCTTCCTGAATAAGATATTTCGAATTTATTTTTTCTGATGAAGATATAGAAATCCATTGGCTTCTCCTGAGATTTGACTTCGGGTTATCAGGTGCCTTTATTATTATTGCTATACAGGGATGAATTTACCTTCAGACTTCTTCAGTACTATGCTGATTTACTTTACTTATTATCTGAAAAAGGTTTGAGCATTTCACCAAAAAACCTCTTCAATGCTTTAGTTTCGAAGCTGAGAAATTTTATTAATTATATTAAAATTAATCATTCAGTAGGAAAAAGAAAAACTTTCGGAATAAAACAAAGATTTTTCAAATTGTCCCTTTCGAGTTTTAGCTTTCAAGTTGCCCAATACGTAGAAACCTCAGATTTTCACTTTCTCTTATTTATTTTTCATTTACCGAACAACAGTTGTTCAGTACTGATACGGAAGATTTCAAAAACAAAACTTCGTATTGTATACAATAGATATCTAGTCAACTAATTATATGGAAGCTATTTATTCAGACTGAAGTACATCCGGTGTTATTTATAATACAGAGAACAAGATTAATGAGGGTAGATTCAGTGTTTGTTGGGACGGTCATTGGGCGACCGTTAACTCTCGATTGATTTCACAGTTTTCTACCGATATTCTACATTCTGTACTAGGCAGGTGTTTTCACTATTGTCTACTGATTCTAAAGTTATCCTCAAAGTTTTTACCTCCTTTAGTTTATTCCTCAACAGACATCTCACCGACACGCAAATCATGACTGCTTGCATAAAGCAGAATACTGTTTGTCTTACTTATCATTTCAAAACTGTAAAATTGGAGCCTGTCTGGTAGTACACCTTAATCGTAGCATTAGCATTAACAGGTCAGTTAATAACTGAAATCGAGATGTCAGTGATACGGAAAATAAAGTGCAGTTGCAGTGAGATCCATTGTGTTATAATACTCCATGGACTGTAGTTAGAATCTGATTCAAGCTTATCTATCACCTATCCATAGAGTCAATGCTTTATTAAATTATTTACATTTCTAACACATTACTATGCTAACTGTCTACTCGTGCGTGGGTGGCATAGCGGTTAGGACGCTCGCCGACTATGCACATGGTCCGAGGTTCGATCTCCGGCCGACGCACACCTGATACCAATGGTCGGCCTGCTAAATTTGGGCTACCGATATCACATGCTGAAAATTCCATACTTGTATCAAAAATACTGTGTGGAGTCAAGCTACACTAAAAATAAAATAAATAAATAAAGAATAAAACCACTGCTACCGAAATTTCAGAGTTCTAGGTTGAAGCTCTGTGTTTCACTTGGAACGTAAAGGAATAAAAAAAATAAAAAAGCCGTCTAGTCAGCTATAAACATCGGTATACCCACCGAGCATCTTAAAGAACTCCTACTGAGGTGTACCCTGAATGTTCAATTCTCTTTCAACAACGAAATATATCGCCAAAAGGATGGTATAGCTATGGGATCACCACTAGGTCCATTGCTTGCAGATTTCTTCATGGCAAAACTCGAAAACATATGCCTGAAGAAAATGATCGATACCTTCGAAATCTATAAGAGATACGTCGACGACACTTTCATTATCGTCAACAACGAAGAAAATCTAGACGACATCTTGAAGTCGTTTAACAACTGCCACCCCGCGATTCAGTTCACGCTGGAGAATATCTTTCTTGACGTCCAACTAACAGACGAGAACAGGATGGAACACTAAATTCATACAGAAAATGATGAATATTGTACCTTACACACTAAACGAAACCTGATCCGTTCACTCAGCTACAGAGTTTGCAGAATTTGCACCCCGGACACCATAGAAGATGAACTGGACAATCTCAAGAGAATCCTCGTCGAGAATTGTTATCCAGAAAGATTTATTGCGAAATCTATGAATCCTAGACCACAAAAGCCACCCATGCTTAGCGTCCCGAAAAAACTACTCTACATTAACCTTCAATTAAATGGAAATATATCTGCGGAAACACTAAAAATCGACTGTCGCGCTCACTTAAGAAGACCTTCTTCGCAGCTGAATACGTATATGAACTAAGAACTACGCTTGCTCACCAATGTGTATTTATCAATTCACCTGCTCGTGTGGAGCCAGGTATGTCGGCCGTACCCAGCGCTCGCTTTCCAAACGTACCACCGAACACTTACCAACATGTTTACAAAGAGAAATCAGCCACTGATAGAATCGGACACAAGCTAGACGCAAGCAATCAAGTGTAAATAATAAATATTGAACGTTTTTGAACTGACATTGTGGGCAAATACAATAAATTTATTCTTAACATGTTGTTTTATTTCTCTAATATATCCAAGAGTGTTGATTAGTTGGCACATACATTATAATTATTGATTGTGATCCTCTTCAACGATTCACTTGCTAAGTTAACTCTGCATACAGAAGAAGTTTGTTCAATCACTACACTTGCAATGGACGTAATCTATCTTATTACCGACATGTAATTTACTAATCTTTTTCTGTTCTTCATTGTATTATTTTGCTCTCAATTGTAATATTTTACATTTTCAACTTTCTTGTTCTCTATCCCCACCCGATTTAATTTCTACACCTCACTACCACTGTTACTGACTTGAACAACGCTCAATTTCTAGTCATTTATGTTACGTCATCCAACTTATTTGCTCAATTTCACTTCTACTTAGTCTCTACCTGTAATTACCTCTGTTGCTACCCTGATCTAAGTTGAAACATTTTAGTCAATTATATTACGTCATCTAGCTTACTAACTCAATCTTACTTTAGCTGCTAGCTGATTAACTTTGTTTCTATATTACATCATTCTTGTATTAACTAATCAATTATCTAAACTTGACAAACCTCATGTACACACACACAAATAATTATATATAAATGCGATTGTACAGCTATGTGAATGAATTCGCCGAAAAGAGTCTCTTTGCTGAACGTCTTATCTTTTTCATATAATCATTTTTTCACGCGCTCAAAAGAGATGTACAAAGAAGCTTACGAAATAAAAGTATACTAGAAACCTTGTACCCATGCAATTAATTTTATTAGGCTTATCATTCACTGTTATTTATAAATAGAAATCTGTCTGTAACCAAAGAACCAACTTATAACATTTTGTAAATTAAGAAACTTATTTAACAACTGGCTAAAAGTAAATGTCATAGTTATCTGCTTCCCTAGTCAATCTGTTTCTGGACAAAATCATCAATTTTCTTTGTATGTGACGCTGGAACTGTAAATGCAAGTCGAAAGGGAAATATATGCATATGTGAGACTAAACATTAGTCTGGTATTAACAAGTCGAACGCGGATATGTACGTTCCTATGTTTATGTAATCATACATTGTAACTTGGACAATCGATAAAAAACCACCTGACACCTTGCCATACATAAACACAGCCCACAATGTTGAGATCTATGAGAAAATATATCTGTCTTCTTTTATAGACCGAAATTTGATTTAAAAGCGTCACTCAGTGAGAACGAATAAGCCATTAATAGGGGAAAACATAAATTCCTGGGGGCAACTGAAAAAAGTAAAATAACAGCGCATTAATATGTGTAACATAACCAATTTCGCTTCGTGGTTTAGTGATATATACATCTATTCATCATTTAGTCTATCAGTATATACAAATATAAAAATCTGACTCACTGGGATTTCTGTTTGTCTTCTTGAGTTTGCTTTTGACCAATGGGAGCTTTAATAAAGTATAAAAAGTGAAAATTACGACCGATACATCTTAAAAGTAGTATCCAGTTAGCACAGAATATTCACAGTTAACCAAGTTTGAAATAAAACTCAAAAATCTCAAAACTAGGCAGCTCAACTGGTTCAAATTACTTTGAGCGTAGAAACTTCCTATCCGCTATCATTGAAGTGGAAAATAAGCGAGCTTATCCCAGTTATTATTATTGTATCCTTTAATTCCTGAGGAACATAGGGCTTCAGCGTCGTCTCCATTGCGTTCGTTCTCTCCTAGATCTTCACCTGGCTCAAGTCTGCCCACACTTTTCATCTCCTCTTCACATGACTCCTCCAAGTCACCCTTGCACTGACGACCAACTCGCCGCTCCTTTCGGGTTCCACTCAGGCTTGTCTGTGATTCACTTGATGGTTTCCTAGAGTATGGCCATCCATCTCCATTTCTTCTGCCTATTTGTTTCACAATCGGTTCCTGGTTGGTTCGCTCCCAGAGACTTTGTTAAGTCCATTTATTTATTGTTACACAAGAGAAGTGAGACTGATATTAGAACATTCATTTAGGAAGCCCGCATTTCACTACAAGGAAACTGATTTACCATAGCTTTGATCACAGGCTGACATCATTCAGAGAATCATTCGAAAACCAGAGACTATTGGACAGCAGTTTCGTCCCATTTTGGAACTGTCCAACAGTATGTACTAGCAGCTAATCAAATCCCTGCAAACGAATACTTGAAACTGATTTAGTCTGATAAGATAGAACAAAATTGGTAAACCTAATTTAATAACGTCAGATATAATGAATAGCAATAATACGTTTTTTATTGTGTATAGTGGCTCTGAATCTCAGTGGAATTATTAACAATAATGTATAGACAAAATGACGTTTTCAGGTAGAACAAAATGTGCTCATTGAATTTTATTATTATGCATTATCAAGTGTTGGTTTGTAGGGATTTGATTGGTTACAGGATTTCATCATGAGCTGACATCAGTTAGAATTCATTGACCATTGGATCGGGTCCCAGTGGCTTAATGGTATACGAGCTCGCCTTGTAACCAGAAGGTCCTGGGTTCGAATCCCGGTGGGTGCGTACTGCTGAAGAGTCCCAAACCAGGAAGGAGGAAACAGCTGTCCTGTACTCCCAGGTTTTCCAATGGTTCTCTAACTGATGTCAGCTCATGGTGAAATCCTGTATTATGCATTACTTGACGAATATCATTGCAAACGAAATGAAATCAATAATTCTTTATGGTAGAGGAAAATTTAGTAATTTATATGCATTAATTCAAAGTTTACTTTCTTTGTGCATCGGTGGCGCAACCGTAGAATGCTCACCAACCACGTCTAATGTGGTCCGGGGTTTGATCCCTGGCCGACGCACTCCTTTACCTCGCTAAGCTAGTAATAATACTGGTAAAGAGGGGAGGTTGGGTATGAGGCTAATAGCCCGATTCTTCAAAAAAATAACTTCCACTGCTACTGAAACTTCAAGTTTGTAGCTTGAAGCCATATGTTCCATTGGGAGCGTTGAGGAATAAAAAAAGGTTATTTTCTTTAGCTTTTAGTATGACTGAATTTTTCTAGCCCGTGTATTCACACTCGTGAACATGAACATTTTACTAGATAAGGTTCCAGTAACTCTAACATAATAGATTTTAGAGTAATGTATACTTCTCAAAGAGTTGAACTGCCAGAATTATTCATTCCTAAAGCAAAACATCTGTCTGAATAAGGAAAGTTAAAAGTGCCTCTGAATTAATCACTCTTAGGAAGAAAGAACTGCGCGAATTGGATTCTCTTGATGAAACGAATTGAGAAGAGTTTAACTATGATTTTGCAGAAAGTAATTAAGACCTTCTTTCAAACTCCATACTTCTACAAACATAATTACTAATAATGCAGACTTCTGCATAAATTGAAATAATTTTTTATGTAACTGTAAGTTGTTTTGCATCGCCTTCTATTGAACTTGTTAAAAATGTCATCAGTCAGCTTCAATTTGTTGTATTCTCTTAAAAACATATCAAACCAAAAATTTCTAAAATTTATCAAACTGGAACATGAAAGCATATCTGCTTGAAGTATTCACAGTTAAGTTATATCAAATATTTACCTTGAATATTTGTAGAATGGGATACTGAAGGTAGCTGATTAATGTTTTGCTCTCGGTTGGCATGCATTTCTGAAGTGTATCCATCGGATTTTGGTTTTCCAAAATAAGCGTGATGTGAAGGCGGTCGTGGACTATACCTAGATGATCCTTCTTGCATTTGATACTGAACATGGGAGCTGGGATGGACAGAACGATTAAAATGTGACATGTTGCTAAATCCTGAATCCTGAATTGAATATGGGATATTGTACAGCCTATTTCGTTCATCTGGTTTATAAAAGGACTGAGAAAGGGGGACATTATGCATATAATAATTGCGAGAAGGTTGTATTAGTTGATTGGAGTACAAAGGTAAGGTTGATGACTGTTGCATATGTGCTGAAATAGGTTTTGTATTACTGTCCGTCGTTTGACTTATGGAGCTGGGTAAATTTACAGCACTTGGCTTTTTAAACATACGTCCTAATGTACCAAATATGGATCGTTTCCTTTCATTTTCTCTTTGAATATTTTCCTGATTGTCAGCGTTCGTTAGGTCATCTCGTGTAGTTGATGATGTCTGGCTCTGATGAATATTCGTCGGTAGGTCAGTCTGCATTCGTCTCCTTTTAATTAAAAAAGAATCAGATTGAAATACATAAATAAAACATTTTAATATAGTTACCATTTTCTGAGTTAATCTACATCGCATTGCTATATAAAACCAGAGACACTATCTTCTTATTTCGTTCGCATTTCCAGCAATTATTCTTCGAATCATAACAAGGTTAACTGAAAACTCATGTCATGAATCAACTCCACTTTATGTGTACTTTTTAGCGTAGAGAACTCATCTTGGTTCATCTTTAAATACCGAAATAGTATGCCCTCTACCTGTGTGAATGCATTTTCGTTGGGTTCTTTCCGAAATTTCGTTCCCCAGTTATAGCTAACAGATGCAGAAACGTTTCAAATATTTAGTATAATGAAAGGGTGACTGATTCAGAAGACCTAGTGTACAAAACATCTTTGAAGCCACTAACTCAAATCCAGTCACTACCTGAGGTTTTCCAGCTATCACCCTCATAACCAAAAAAAATAAGTTTGTGAATTCAAAGACATCTCAAATAGATCTACTGAAAATTCTAGAAGACTTCACTGGAATCTACTGAGAGAATCAAAATGTTAGTCAATAAAGCAACAGAATCTTTATTTGGTGTTAAAGCAGGAATCTAAAGGTAGTATCATGTTAGTATTATTAAATAGATATACCTCATTGTATCCAAATCACGAATTTGATCTGGAGGAAGATTTGACAAAGCTGGGAGTTGTGCACTGCCAGTTGTGAATATAACGTTATTTGAGCCAGCATATCTTGGATTGGGTATGACAATCCCTGTAGAATTTTGATTATTTGCTCTTAAATGCATAGGTAGGGAATTCATTATTGGCGCGCGTAGTCGTGTATCATATCCAAAATGTGAAGGATGAGTGTTAAGTGAGTAGGTAGTTGAAAATTTCTGTGGATAACCAGCTGTTTGACTGTGATAAATCTCCATATTTACTTGAGAATTAGTTGATGGGGTAGTCTGTGTTTTAGAGTTCAGATTAACCATAGGTGTCAAAGTCGAAGGTTCTGAAGAATGCTTTAATCAAAAAAGAAAGAAAAAACCCAGTGAATCGCTTATTTAATTCGTCTAAAAAATAAAAATCCTTACATCGTAAGAATTAAAATGATCTTCAAGTATTGGTTTTGTAGGGATTTTTGTTTGTTTGATTGGTTAGAGGATTTCATCATGAGCTGACATCAGTTAGAGAACCACTGGAAAACCTGGGAGTACTGGACAGCTGTTTCGTCCTGGTTTGGGACACTTCAGCAGTACGCACCCACCGGGGTTCGAACCCAAGACCTTCTGGTTACAAGGCGAGCTCGTAGACCATTGAGCCACTGGGACCCGATCCAATGGTTCTTGAATTCTAACTTCTGCCAATTCACGACATAGCGGGACCATTTAAATTAAAATGATGTCTACAAAGTGATGTCGAGCCCTCCTGAAGATAGTTTTACCCTCAGTCGTAATGTATAGCTTGGAAATGAGGCTTCGAGAACCAATTAACAATTCAGTGTGTGCCGTAATGGCGAGCCACCTAGCATGGTGGTGGTCACATTACAAACTTGACTGATAGAATTCAGTTTGCACTAAACAAAGGACTAGACGCATAACACTAGCTAGTGTTCAATCAAAATGAGTTTATACTTTTTATTTTAATTCATGCCATCAGGCTGCTTATTCACTCTCGTTACATATCATGTTTATGCTAAAAAGAAAAGTGCATTTACTTTTGATATTACAAACCTTATTTCAGTAATCATTCAATTTACCGAATTTTTCAGTAAAATATTTAAAAACAATTTTTTTTATCAAGCTAGATTTTAAGTAGGTTAGCGTAAATTACAACTAGACATTTGAATTTATCCAATCAGAAGGAAATGTAGAAGGCGTTATGTTTTTATGATAATAAGGTCAATGATGAGGTTATCATCATATCAACTTTTAGAAAATTTCATCATATGGAAGTAGGACAAAAACATGAAAAAACTCGAAAACATAAGCATACAAGATACACACCAAATATTGAATCGACTTTTAATAAAAATCAATAAATGCTAAATAAGGAATAAAACGCCTTAAGGCGTATCACTATCAAGAAAATATTTGGGATTTTTTAAAAGTGAAAGCAGGAAGAAAACTATCCTTGTTTTAGTAGGATGTGATACATTTTTGATATTTCATCAATGCAGACTGAAATCTCATGTTTATAATTCAGAGCAGCACATGTAAGCGAGCAATATTTTATCAACTAGATCTCATCAGGCACTACTCTCATATAATTAACTTTGCAAAAAATATTACATACAAGCTAGACAAAGTGATTTGTCATTAGGATGATAAGAGTGGGCATATAAACTATGCGGTTAGAATAATAATTCTATTAATAGGCGTAGTGAAAAACAGTTTGGTACAGAAACAAACAGATGTAGTAGATAAGGGCTTACAAAACGAACAACAAGATTACATAATACTAGATTGTAAGGGAAATAGGGTGAGGCTACAAAAGGGTAAGAAACGGATTAAAAAGGCATATGGGGTGGTGGTAGTATAGTCACTTAGTTACGTCTTCAGCAGTCATGGAAGGGATAATGGCTGTACGAACTCCTTCTGAACGCGCAGTTTAATAGTTTAATATTTTCATTCCCAATCACCACACTTTTAGGCAGTAGACGAATACGAAGACTGTTAGAAAGAATCTGTAGGATGCAATGGACCACACTGAGCACTAAGTCTTTTCCAGTGAATAGCTACTATCAGCTAAATGAGACAAAAGTGAGCTTCAGATGGTCATTACCTGTCCCATACAAAACCACGAGGGAAAATATCGTGTGGTGCGTTGGCCAAGCTGTCTATTAGTAAACCTAATACGACTGTTTCTTCAACAGTAATTGAACTGATCATTTGATAACTAGGAGATGAAAAACAAAGGTCGGCTGCATAAAATGTCCTCCTTATAGTTCCGTATAGTAAACGGAACAAACTTTCACTAGAAAATTCCCCACTAAATAATAATTCAATAAATAAAAGTTTCTTATATGCTGTTATCGGATCTGGTTTTTCACCTAACTTATCCGTGTTTCTTTTGACACTAGCAGTATATGCCATCTCAATCAAGGAATGATGAGTATACTGAAATCCCTTTTGTAAATAATCTCCCATACACGTCTTTCTTGACCTGCTGGCAAGATACTTAATAATATTTCTTTCATATTTAACGAGTAAATAACTGAGGACGTGAATGTATTGCCCCATGTTTTTTCTATAAACGCTTCCCCAAAGTATATAATTCAGGCACGAATAAGCAGTAGTCATTTTAAATTTTGGTGCGAATCATTTGTAAACACAACACCAGTGACTGGTAGTTTTTTTAGTAAAATCGGTCGCAATGAAATTTCATCTAATGATAGGGTTTGAACGTCATTCAAAACAATTTACTGAGATCATTGATGAAACGGCGTCGGTGGCACAGCGGTAGAGTGCTCGCCAACCACGCATGTGGTTCGGGGTTCGACACCTGGCCAACGTACTCCTTCACCTCGCCAAGCCAGTAATAAGACTGGTAAAGAGGGAAGGTTTGGCATGAGGCTAGCAACCCCATCCTGTAAAAATAATCAGCACTGCTACAGAAACTTCAAGCCGGCTTGAAGCCCCATGTCCATGGGAATGTAAAGGAATAAAAAAATTGATGAAACGCCTCAAATTATATGACATTTGGGTCGACTATTTCATCCACTTTTTGGTTTGCTGCTTACATTTTTCCTGTTTTCTGTTCTGTCTCTAATCGTTCCCCTCAATATTAACTCGCATAATTTTACTTCTTGATTACATTTTACTATCTCGGTACTATGACGTTCATTAAAATTAATTGGAGTGCCTTTATAGAAACGGTGTTTTTTTCTAATGTGAAAGTTCTTTTAACTGAATTCTTAATTAGCGGATTAAGTATTGCTTTTTAATAATTTATTTTGCGTAGTGCATCAGTTGAGAGATATAAGAATTCATAGTAAATTACTATACACACCATAAATCTGTCTACAGATCCATTTCTTAAAACAATCTTTCCAGGTGAATTTAGTCATAAACCGTCATTAAACAGAAAAGCATTAAAAACCAAGAAACATAGGATTTCTATTTTTTATACAACAAAGCCAGTTGTTGACGTTCTGGAGAATCAACCTGTGAACATGGATTTTCAAAGTGAGCGAGTAACAAGTGAATCAAAGTTTGTGTTTATTTTATGCATATTCGTGATATTTTTACCTCTACTACCTGGGAAGCATCGTTTCAACTACAGGCGGATGGAACTGACGAGGATATCAAAGCAAGAATCGGAAAAGCAAGACAAGCTTTCACTACTCTCAAGTCTGTGTGGAGGTCAACAGCACTCAACATCAAAAATAAGATCCGGATTTTCAACTCCAATGTGAAGTCAGTGCTACTATACGGATCAGAGACTTGGCCAGTGCGTCATAAAGAGCATCTCAAACAAAGTACAGACCTTCATTAACAGTTGTCTTCGCTCAATACTTCGCTCAAGATCAGATGGCTGGCTAGAAAAGATCAGCAAACAGAGATCTCTGGGAGCGAACCAACCAGGAACTGATTGTGAAACAAATAGGCAGGAAGAAATGGAGATGGATTGGCTGGCCATACTCTGAGGAAACCATCAAGTGACATCACTAGACAAGCCATTGTTCGAGTGGAACCCGAAAGGGAAGCGGCGAGTTGGTCGTCAGTGCAAGGGTGACTTGGAGGAGGTCATGTGAAGAGGAGATGAAAACGTGTGGGCGGACTTGGAGCCAGGTGAAGACTCTAGCAGAGAACCGAACGCAATGGAGACGCATGGCTGAAGTCCTATGTTCCTCTAGGAATTAAGCAAACAGTAATAATAATAACATAGGAAGTTCACTGAGAAACATATCCCAATGTGTTCGAAAGCGTTTACCAGCTTGTCTGAGCAAAAAAGGACTTAAAGCCGTGAATTCATCTAAAATGAAACGAATAGTGAATAATGATCACTCGGCTTGTAATGCAAATTTTGACACTATCTACAGGGTGCGACAGACGTTGCCGAAAGAGACACGGGTGCATTTGCATTGTATTGGAGAAGCCGTGACAACCTATAACATAAATCCACTACTATGTACAAAGACAATTTGTAATTTCTCTTCCGTTACTATAATTTTAATCTTATCACGTGATTCACAAAACTCCTTCATTCTGTGTTCTTTCAATTTGTTTTGTCTTATTTCATCCTACATTATCACAGTCTAATATTTTATTTATTTGATTTTATTGATGACACTTCATCATTTTATTTTCCCATCTAATTGCATTCAAACATAGCAAATAACCACAGTGTTGATTGTTTTGAATATTGAACATGCTTCATTACCAGTATATCTCTGAAGTGTTGTTTAATTCAAGTGTGAACATTATTTCACGTAAATATAAGCCTTGAAATGATAATAGCTTAAATGGAGATGTCATGTGTACCACATAATAAGGATCAATAAACAAATCTTTTATTTAAATTGTACTGATATAACTACAACTGTTAACACTACAGTGTTTACGAAAGATAAGAATACATCCAACATCTATTTTGGGCAACATCTCCGATAGCAGTCAGCACAATCGGATAAAGAAGATTGTTCTTGGAAGGAAATAAGAGATTAATTATCAATCTAGTGGGTGAGAGAAGAAAGCCAAAAATTCCCAAAGAGGAGTTCGTTTAAAAATACACCTAAACTTTGCATACATCTGTCATTTGTCTACATGTATTTCAAATGAATCCGCCATCTTCGTTTACATTACTATTACTGACACTGCCAAGAATACAAATTCCATGATATTTATATGGGTACTGTCTGTTAAAATTCACTTCGCTAATCTTTTCAAGGTTGTATTATGCCTAGTTTTTCGGTAAAGTTCGACTTTATCTCAAGTTACATAAGAAGTGATCATCCTGATATTATAAGTGGGCATAAAAAGGCAATATAAGTTACACTGTCTATATCATCAAAACAGCA